GAGGTGTAAGGAGCCTCTGGGACAACTTCAAGCGCACCAACATCTGAATTATAGGGGTGCCAGAAGAAGAGAGAGAGCAAGATATTAAAAACCTATTTGAAGAAATAATGACAGAAAATTTCCCCTACCTGGTGAAATAAATAGATTTGCAAGTCCAGGAAGCACAGAGAATACCAAACAAAAGGAATCCAAAGAGGACCACATCAAGACACATAATTAAAATGTCAAGGGCAAAAGACAAAGAGAGAATCTTAAAAGCAGCAAGAGAAAAACAGTTAGTTACCTACAAGGGAGTACCCATACGATTGTCAGCTGATTTCTCAACACAAACCATGCAGGACAGAAGAGAGTGGCAAGAAATATTCAAAGTGATGAATAGCAAGAACCTGCAACCGAGATTACTTTATCCAGCAAAGCTATCATTCAGAATAGAAGGTCAGATAAAGAGCTTCACGGCTAAGAAAAAGCTAAAGGAGTTCATCACCACCAAACCAGCATTACATGAAATGCTGAAAGGTATCCTTTAAGAAGAGGAAGAAGAAAAAGGAACTCTTGCCATTTGCCACAACATGGATGGAACCGGTGAGCAGATAAATACCACATGATCTCACTCATTTGTGGAATATAAGGAACAACATAAACTGATGAACAAGGACTGATCCAGAGATGGAGAGGCATTGATTGGACTGTCGGGCTTTGGAGGGAGGGTAGGGGAGGGGGGGGATAAAGGGGAAAGAGCAACCAAAGGACTTACATGCAGGCATATAGGCCTAACCAATGGACACGGACAACGGGGGGGGAGGGCAAGAGCGGGGGGGGGGGGAGAGGGGAACGTGGGGACAAGGACACATATGTAATTTCTTAATCAATAAAAAATATATTAAAAAAAAAAAGAATTGCAAATCATTTTTACCCCATAACATCAAATGATATGGATTAGGCAAATAGCGTTTTGTAGAACTTGTGTTGTTTTTTTTCTAAAATAGAAAAAAACTCATTAGAAAAAAACTTTTGCTTCTCTTGCACACAAATACATCGTGAAGGCTCGGAGCCATTGGCCCTGAATCATTTCAGAAACATTGATAAAGAAGGTGCCCTGAGCCTCCGGGCTAGTCAGCATTATACACACTCTCTTTTAAGGTGGTGAAGAGATTTTCTACTGGGAAAAACCTAGAAGCCTCTAAAAATGAATTATTCAACTATCAAAGTCTCTCAGCTGAAGTCTTTGGTAATTGTGTGTAGTAGCATTTTTGTCAACTTTGTGGCAATTTTTCATCTAACAGTAATAAAGGAATTTCTAGCAGATTAATGTGGTCCTGAAATGTATTTAAGAAAACCAAATGTGTTCAGGCTGTGAAGAAAGGATTTTTTTTTAAGCTACTGGTGAATGAGAAGGAATTTATTTCATGCTCCATGGAGTTTGGCCTTATAAAGTCTTTAGCTACCAGTTAAATTCAGGGATAGAAAAATGATTCCATTGTGTGCTCTGAATGAGGGGAAAAGACAAATTAGTATTCCAGCAATACTACTAGTAACTAAAGTAAATAATATCTCTCAACAAAAATGTGTCATCTAATTTATTAAGTGACAACTAAGTAATGGTAAAACTTGTCACGTGTGTCCTGCAACAGCCCTCCTTCTGCCTTTGATTTTTCCATGTAAAATCAAACTTTTGTTCTTGGTAGGTTCTTGATCCCAGCGCCCTTTCTCACCCTTTGATTTCCCATCCTTCCTCCTAGTTGAAGCTCACATAGTTTCCCTTTAATTGAAATATTTCGGTTGTCTTTGAAATGATTCAGCAACCTGGGGGACGTTTTAAAAGAATTCTTTTTAAAACATGTTTCCTCCAGTACATATTTCTAACTTTCTTTCATCTTCTAGCAGATGTGATCATATGCAACCAGGAATAATAATAACTATGAAGAGTAAATGTAATATATATGGAATAATAATTTTAGTAAATAGTTTTTACTCAAATACTAGTATATCTGAGAAGAAAGATTTGTTTAATTCTAGGGAATGATAACCAGGATATATTTTTGAAATTAATTACTTAAAGTTATTTTTTTACACAGCCATGCTGACAAAGGAATTTATCTTTTATTTTTAATTAAAAAAAGCATACTTAGAATACCAGCCTGGTAAGGGAATATGGAAGTTCTTTAGGGCAAGAACTACCTGAATCTGATTAGTACAACTGAGATACTATTTTTATGTCCACATTTGGCCTTCCTTTTCTCAGGGATTCAGAGCATGGACTCCTGAGTACAGCCAGCAGAGTGCCCTCAAGACTGCCCCACCCCTTTCACCCCCACTCCTCCCAGTAACTCAAGGTCTCCTGGATGGGAGGAAGCCCTGGGCAGAAAGTGGGGAGTTCTCTTGATGTGGAGCAACTGGAGGGGAGAATAAGGAACAGTGGGAGCATTTGTTAAGTTATCTGGTGAAGTGTTTGCTGATAGAAAAATGCATTGTTATATCAGTACCTGTGACCTTGGCTTCTCTTCCTTGCTTGACTAGCCTGTGGAAGAGAATGGAGAGAGTTGATTGTACTGCAAATCTAAATGCATACATGTGCTTCAGAGACAGGAAAACATCACTTAGGTATTCAGATAAAAAAGACACCACAGTTTAAAACCATATTGTATTTGCAATTGTTAACTCATAACATACATTCGAACCAGATAACTAGAATGTTATGGTCATAAGCGATGGAGAAAATTAATATTTATCTCAGTATCAAACAATAAATATTAGCTCCTTCTGCCATTTAAGTATCACCCCCAAGAATTACATGTCACTTCAAGAAGTAGATCATACCATAAAGTGTAAGTGTCTAACTAGTGGTTGATAAAAATAATAATTTGGGCCCAGCTGGAGTGGCTCAGTTGGTTGAGCATTGTCCTGCGCACTGAAAGGTTGCCTGTTCAATTCCCAGTCAGGGCACATACCCCCGCTGTGGTTCCATCCCCAGTCACATATAAAAGGCAACTGATTGATGTTTCTCACATCGATGTTTCTCTCTCTGTCTTTTTCTCTCTTTCTCCTCCCCCTCTCCCTCCCTCTAAGCATGTCCTCAGGTGAAGATTAAAAATAATACTAATTTGAGGAACTGCATAATTAAAGATAAAGATTCATCTGTTTCCTCATAAAGCCTTTTTGATTAAAAAATAAATCCCTTTAAAGGAATATGATAAAAATGAAAAACTTTAATTTAAAAATGAAAACATAATATAACATATTAAACATAGTATATGATGTGTCTGTGTTATGCTCCAAAAGTAATAATTAATGCTCTAACATACAAATATCCAATTACTATTTTCTATTGAGAAGCTAAGGGCCTGTTGACTTGAATAGGGTCATTCTGCTATGATAAAACTACTAATAGGTAGCTCTGTTTTATATGGAAAGTCTTTGAAAGACTAATAAGTTACTTTTTAGCCAGTCAGAGAAAGATAAATATCACATGATTCCACTCATTTGTGGAATATAATGAACAACATACACCAATGAACAAAAATAGAACCAGAGATATAGAAGCATTGAACAGACTGTCCAAACTATGAGGGAAGGTGGGGCTGGTGGGGGTTAAGAGATCAACCAAAGGACTTGTATGCATGCATATGAGCATAACCAATGGACACAGACAGGGGGGTGAGGGCATGTGCTGGGGGGTGGCAGCGGCTGGGGATAGGTCAATGAGGGAAAACGACTCATGTATTATTTTAAACAATAAAGAATTTAAATTAAAAAAAATAAAAAGATAAAAAAATAAAGATGGGCCACTTTAAAAAGTTACTTTTTTTAGGTAGATGTATGGCAAGTCTTTAAATGTAGCAACTCTTACAAAAATAATCATTTTTATTTTATAAATTAAATTATTAAAATATTTATAATAAAGATTATTGACAAGATTAAGCAGTACCTAAAAAAATAAAAGTCGAAGACATAAATTCCTTCCATATTACTAAAGTTAGATTGTGCTTTTAAAAAATTTCACTGGAAAGGAAATATTTCAGAAATAACATTGACTCTATAGTCTTTATAAAGAGAGGATTATCTTCTGTGATCTTTGAAGATCAACTTCTAGTAAATTAGAAAAACCCCACTTAGTTAAGACCCCGCCTTTCAATACTCTCTCTCCATTCACGATGCCCTTTCATGTAGAAGCCTCTTCAACATCCTGTACATGTGCTTTCTGGGTCTTCATAGAATCTCACTGCTATTATCCTCTCATCCCAAGATACAGTCAAATCTCTAAAGAACCTAATGGAGGTATTTTCCTCACAGTCATCGAAAAATTGTTTTCTGAATAATTTGGACCAGCTGCTTAAAGATAAAATTCACTGTAGACAAAAGAACTGTACAAAGGCAAAGATTACTACTGAATTGAAGAGAATTTGGGAAAAAATAGATCTTTGTGCTCTCAAGTTTTACTCACCAAAGAAAACAGGCCAGAAAGGAGGAGGAGAGAGAAAAGTATCCTGGGTAATGATAGGAGAGACCTTGTAAGTGCCAGCAGAGGCGACTGGAACAACATGGGAAGGAAATGGATGCCCTTCTTTTAAGTGAAAGTGTTTGACTCTCATTGGCATGTATGTGCACTGGATCATTTGAAACTTCTTAAAATCTGTTTTCCCAACATTTCATGAAAAATTAGCATCAGAAAAGCAGAAAGAACTGTACAGTGAACATCTATCTTCCCACTGAGAGTCTACAATGAGCATTTTACTCCACTTTGTCACCTGTCTGTCCCTGTAACCATCTCTACCTACCCATCAATCCAGCTTATTTTTCAGTGCCTTTCAAAGTGAGTACACTTTACTCCTAAACTGTTCAGCATTTACACCAACATTTTTTATGATTTTTTAAAATTGAGGTAAAATTTATGTAGAGTGGGACATACCAATCAACTCAAATCTCATGCATTCTGTGATTTTTCACAACACCATCATATGGTTTTATTACCTCAGAAAGTTTCCTTGTGTCCCTTCATAGTAAATCCCCACCCTCTGCCACTGCTGGTCAGAGTTCCTTCTCGTAGATGAGTTTGTCTTGTCCTAGAATTTCGTATAAATGAAACCACTATATAACTGCTTTTGTGTAAGACTTCCTTCACTCAGCACATAGATTTCTGATCTCTTTCTGATTCACCTGAAAAGTGAGATGAAGTAATCCTATCTTTTCTATTTCAAGTGGCTGAACTGATTTGGTGAATTTTCACTTTCAGGCCTGTTTCCTGCCATTCTCAATCTTGCGAGCAATGCTCACATCATCACCAATGCCACCTGCGGTGAGAAGGGGCCTGAGATGTTCTGCAAACTCGTGGAGCACGTGCCCGGTCGACCTGTGCGGAACCCCCAGTGCCGGATCTGCGATGGCAACAGTGCCAACCCCAAAGGCAAGTGTTGCTCCTTCTACTTGGAAGTACCCGTGGGAATCTATTTGTTTTGAAATGATTATGAAGACTTTTATCAGGAAACCGTGAGCACTGTGTTGACCTTCACTGCTATTCATTTCCACTAGCATACAGTTTAGAAGTTAAAAATGTTAAACCAAAAGCTGAGAGGTATGCATATTTTTATTCCTTTTATATTTTTATTTTTTATAATTTTGTTGTTTAACTACAGTTGATATGAAATATTATATTAGTTTCAGCCACTATAGAAAGTAGTATGGAGGTTCCTAAAAAAATTATAAATAGAATTACCATATGACCCAGAAGTTCCACTTTTGTGTATTTATCCAAAGAATCCCCAAACACTAATTTAAAAAGGCATATGTATCCCTATGTTCATTGCAGCACTATTTTCAATAGTTAAGACTTAGAAGCAACCTAAGTGCCCACTGATAGATAAATGGGTGAAGATGATGTGGTACATATATACAGTGGGATATTACTCAGCCATAAAAAGAATAAAATCATGCTATTTGTGACAACATGGATGGATCTAGAGGGTATTATGTTTCTGTTTTTTTGTTTTTTTTTTTAACAGAACGCCATCCAATATCAAATGCGATAGATGGCACCAATAACTGGTGGCAAAGTCCCAGTATTCAAAATGGGAGAGAATATCACTGGGTCACAATCACTTTGGACTTAAGACAGGTAGGTAAGGCGAGAACTGTTGATGAATGTCTATGGGTTGCTGACCGTTGGGAAAGTCTGCCTTATTTCTCACCATCTTTACCTTCTATTCTCACTGTTTTTCCACAAGGTTAAGTTAAGCGATATACAGAAGATGTCCATGGTACCATTGCTTGTCACATTTCTCATTCCCAGGAATCTTTGAGAAAATGAGTGAAATTTTTTTCAGTGGGGTTTGATGTTCTTAGAAACTAAGTCAGCAGGGCCTATGTCAGACCGTGTACTAGATGACGACAGACACATCCATGTATTTTCTGCCTTTCAAGCTTATTATCTTGCTACTAGAGGCCTGGTGCACGAATTCATGCACAGTTGGGGTCCCTGGGCCTGGCCAGCAATTGGGCCTGATAGGGGCTGTCTTGCCTAGTCCATATTGGGGTGATCGGGGTTGGCTGGCTGGGGGGGGGGGGGGTGCGGGAATGGAGACCGCAGGAGGTTGGCCGGCTAAGGGGAGGGACTGTGGGACATTGGCCGCCCGTGGGAGGTTGGCAGTGGGAGCGCACTGACCACCAGGAGGCAGCTCCTGCGTTCAGTCCTTTGGTCCTTTAGGCTTTTATTTGTATAGATTATCACTGTGCCAAGTTACTGTAGAAAATAAGGCTTAGAAACAAAGGAGAATAGTGTTAAACCTCTTGACCATGCCTCACCCTTGTCATGCTGTCTGTGAGGGCCATGAGGAAGGTGGAGTTGTCCAGTATTTCTGTGAGCAAGCCTTCAGCTTGAGTTGGGAAAGACAAGGTATAATTGGCTCAGGCCACACTTGCATGCTCTGGATTTGCTTCAAGACCATGCAATAGAATGGAGAAAAATATGGTATGGGCCCTGGTTGCACCCAAATTTCTGGAAATGGGTAAAAATTATCTCAGTCAAAGGATGAAAAGAGAGATGTCAGCTATTGTCACAATTTGATTTCAGTTCTCAAGAAAAGCCATTGCATGATATTCTTATTTATTTCCATTTGATTCTCTTTTGTTAGAACTCTTCAATATCATGTAAAATGTCAGTTGAGACAAATAGTTGAAATGTGCACTGTAGGATTGTAATAGGAATTTTGGAGAGTTAATGACGAGTTATTATAATTCTTTGAATAGGTATTAGTTTAAAAATGTGCAAGATTTTAAGGAGAAAACACGGCAATTCTGTGTATACTTATGTGCAAGGAACTTTTGATCTCTTACAACAGTAAATATGGTAATGACCAACATGTACAGCTCAGGAGACATTTTTCCAAGGTTAGGTTCATAGTATTATGTAAGTAAAATAACATTTCTGATGCTTTTCAGCCATATTTCCTGAATTAATGTCATGCTTTAATATTTCAAACCCACCTAGAGAAAAATAGATGAAGGAACTCCTTTTTGCCATGAATTTGTTTTATTGTTGTTTTTTATTGATTTTAGAGAGAGAGAGAGAAGTGGGGGGGGGTGGAGACAGAGAAAATATTGATAAGAGAGAAACATTGGCTGTTTCCTTTCACCCCCTCATTGAGGATTGGACCCACAACCCAGGCATGTACCTGATCAGACTTGAACCAGTGACCTCTCGGTGCATGGGAACAACTGAGCCACACTGGCCAGGCCACCCTGGATTTTGTTTTTATTTCAGTCAGAAGGATGCTTCTGCGGGAGAATTTGATTTTCCCATCACCTTTTCAATTTATTTTCCTTTTTTAACCCCTTCCCCGGCAGAAACGTGTATACTCGTTTTCACAAAATGTTCTTTTTCAGTCATCGACGAGTATACTAAGAACATATGGTAAAAAAAATATGGTTTATAGGAAGACGAGTTACAAACTGTTTTCATAACCAGCATCAAAAATACTATATAGAACCAAAATAAAAAAATTAGTCTGAAAAAGAAACGTTTTTAACAAAAAAATTGTTGGGGAAGGGGTTAAGGGAAAAAGTGTAACCATTTTCATCAGAAATGTGGTGTTATATGAGTTTGGCCAAAGAAACTGATGGACATTTTATGTATTGGCTTCAAATGCATCTTAGACTGTCCTTTGTCTCGCAACATGTCACGCCTGACTTCATCCCGAAGGGAAACCTTTTGCTTTAAGTTAAATTGCGTCAGCTTGAGGAATACCACAGGGGTATCAGTTTTAGGTCTTTAAGGCATATTTTAAAAACAGGCATGTGCAGTTGACCCTTGAATAACACAGGAGTGAGTTAGGGGCACTCTGCATCTACAGCTTCCCAACAAGGAACCGAAAACACTACAGGAATTTATTGAATTAAAACCCATGCTGTTCAAGGGTCAGCTGTGCATACAGTTATAAACTGCTAGGTAATTTCTAGTGTTTTGAGATAAGCTTATAAATTAAGATTGTTTAACATAATTAGTGCTCAGTGATTTTTTTTCCTTTTACACAATGCAAAATCTCTGCTGTGCTTTCATTTTTTTTTAAAGTGCATTATGTTTACATTTGAGCAAAACTTTCTCAGATGTATTTATTTAAGTATCAAAAATATAAATCTCTGTTTTACTATGGTTGCAAATATCAAAAAAATTCTATATGTGACACGGCACCAAAGTTAGGGTTTTTCAAAATGCTGACACGCTGAGCTCAAAAGGTTTGCCATCACTGGGCTAGGCTAATAGTCTTGTAGAACAGCCCATGTTCTGGGTCTGTCAGATTGTTTCATCATGGTTTTGTTCCTTATACCCTCTATTTCCTACACACTAAACTCAGCTCTAAAGACTCAAAATTCCAGTTAAATGGCTACTTGGGTTGCACCCCAGCTTGGTTGTCTCTGTTGTAATGAGATGAAATTTGAATCCTGTGTAGGTGTTGACAGCCTCATCTCTCCCTTATAAAGTCATCTCCTTTTTCTCCCACATCACACCCTTGTTTCAGGTCTCACTGGCACTCCAATCTAGAGCATGGCTACACCTTCTGATGACCTTTTCCTGTTGTCAAATCTGCATGTTTCTCTGGCAAGCCAGCCGTTAGCCAGGTACTAGTTAATTTCTGGATCATACACCCCGCTAAGGCAGAGGCCACAGCTGTCTTCTTCCTCCTCCTCCTCCTCCTCCTCCTCTTCTCTCTCTTTTCTTTCCTTTCCTTTCCCGGTTAATATTTCTTGAGGGTTGCCTGGTTCACTCATAGGCCCAGACATTGGCAGAGTTGAGGCACTGAGTGAGTCATTGTGGTGCTAATAAATGCTTTTTCACGTTCCCCTCCTCTTTTTTTGTTTGCAGCCTGATTAAAAGATGACAATCAATAAATGAGCCTTTTGACTTCTTAGTTACATTCCTGTAAAAATGTGTAATTAAAGTATAGGTTTCTAAAGTAAATTTATAGACTTTAATATAATTAGGAGTCATAGCAGCTTCCTATTATAAATGTGTTCATGTACTTTAATAACATATCAGCTCCTGAGGTTTCATGACCAAATTAGGCACTTTCATTCTGTGTTGGCTATGCTGAAGACATGGATCCTGATCTTGATTCTCTGGCTGATCATCCATTGAAATTATGATATTTTTTTTAGCTTTAGTGTATGATGTTTGGCTGCCTGAAAGGTAAACTGAAGAAAATAAAAAGTGGTGTTATCGGAAACTCTATAAATGTTGTGTGGTTTGCAATAAGATTTAACTACAGAGTGTTTGCTTTAGTAACATATTACAAGAGGAATGATTTGGTTTATTTACTTCTTCAAAATAGTGCCTACTCTTTATTTTTTACATCGACTCACAACATTTTAGAATTAACACTTAGGTACTTAGTAATACCTTACTTTTATGAAAATCTATGGGTATTGAATGAGTGTGGTATTTTTTTTTTAAGAAAAATAACAAACGTAAAGCTAACATACTTGTGTTAGTTTCTTTAGCACTACACCATGAGAGTGAGCCAGGGACCTTTTGTGACAACTTAGAATTTAAAAGAAATGCTACCAAAAGAAAGAGAGCTTGCACATTTGATGGATCTTGAATTGTATAATTGTCAACATTCTTTCAGGCCCTGATAATTCTATCACTAGGTACACTTTATGGTAAAGCTTCTCGATAAAAGACCCCAAGGATTTCCAGTTTGAGACACACTACTTTAAAAATTAATACACTGGGTAGGTGACAAAATACTCGACTTCTTTACTCATTAGGGAAATGAAAGTTAAAACCACAATGAGATACCACTGCACACTCATTAACATGGCTATTGTAAAAAAAATTGAAAACAGAAAATAAGGGATGGGGAGGATGAAGAGCAGCTGCCCCTCATGCCTTGCTGGTAAGAATGTGAAACGATGCAGTGCTGTGGTGATTCTTCCAAAAGGTAAACATAGAATTTCCATGTGATCTGGCATTTCCACTTCTAGGTATATTCTCAAAGAAATCGGAAGCAGGAATTCAGAGATATTTCACAGCTGTATTCACAGTAGCACTATTCACAACACCTAAAAGGTGGAAGCAGCCCAAGTGTCCAAGAGTGAATGGGTAAACGAAATATGGGCATATGCAGAGGATGGGATATTACTCTGCCTTAAGAAGGAAGCAAATTCTGATACATGCAACACATGGGGAGGAGGGGGGAGGAGTTACTGTTTCGTGGGTGCAGAATTTCAGTTTGGGAAGATGAAAAAGTTCTGGAGGTGGATGGTGGTGATGGTTGCACAACAATGTGAATTACTTAATGCCACTGAACTGTGCACTTAACAATGGCTAAAATGGTAATTTTTGTGTTATGTATATTTTACTACAATTTTAAAAAGTTAATGTATATGAAATACATGCTGTTATGTATCAGCCAGGGTCCAATCAGGGAAGCAGAAACCATACCAGGTATTTAAAGGAACATATCTAGTGTGCGGAACTGGCTAAATAGTGTTGGAGAAGTGGGAAGGGAGTTCCAGGATAGCGCTGAGATTGTAAGGGCTGAGGAGGACTTAGGGAGGTGATTGATGGGTTATTCACACCTACAGGCTTGGGAGAGTATGTTTTACCTCTGATTGGTG